AGTGCAAGAACATTTACCGCAAGACCAAGTCTAAATCGACGAACTCGCAGACAGCTTGCACGAGCGGTACAAACTTCTCATTCATATCAAATCCATGCTGAGAATGGACTGATTGAACTGCATAAACATATGGCACGACCAGCAGGTTGTGCATTCCTGGGAGCAAAAGCGACGGAAGCAGAAGCGTTCATTGACTCAGGTCAGGAGAAATCAACCAGAGTAATTTTTGATTCGGGATCAGACATCACACTGATATCATCGAAGGAGTTGCATTCGCTTTCTCGAGCACCACGAATTCGAACTGGACAGAAGATTAAGCTTATACAAGTCACTGGAAGCACAGAAATTGACGGTTATACAGTGCTAGACCTAATATTCAACACACCTGAAGGACCAGTTAAAATGAATGTAGAAGCATACGTAGTAAAGGGAATGAGCGCACCATTCATTCTAGGAAATGATTTTGCAGACCAGTACTCAATTTCTACTATTCGAGAATATGGTAGGACGTTCATTCAATTTGGGAATTTGGGACGTCGGCTTGAGGTTCATAATTCAGTAACATCGCCATACCTAGACGAGAATGGACATGCCTTTAAAATCCGGGTACGGAAGGATCATCTCGGGAAAATGCAGCGAGCCGCTCAACACCGTAAGAATCAGAAAAGACGACAGGCAAAACGAATACAGAGGGCAAACAGGGATGTTCGAGCTCAGAATCAAGTCATTGTTCCACCACAAACAACAAGATGGGTGTCTGTGAACGTTAACTTCCCTGAAAATTGTGATACTGTGTTCATGGAAAAGTTATTAACATCGAACAGGAACGAGGAAGATATATACGGTGCACCAGACTCACTTATCAGTCAGAATAATCCCCGAATTCCTATAGCAAATTTCTCGTTAGAACCTGTTACTATAGGCAAAGGACAGCTGTTGGGAACAGCACATAACCCGATCAGTTGGCTTGACAAAGCAGAAAGATTTTCCGCTGATGAAAGACTTACCTTTAGACAACAAGCTCGGGTATTACAGGCCTTGACAGAGACAAATAGGAATGAAAGTCTACAAGATCCGATTGAGATCAGTAGCACAACCATGGTAAAAAGTACCGGTGACCTTAGAAACTCTTCGAAATTGCGAGATGACATTCCTGGAGAAGAATACAGTGAACCGCCAATAGAGGGTGGTCCAAAGACAGCCGAAGTGGTCGAAGAATTTACGGACAGCACCAAACTGCTGGAGGAGCTTGACGTTTGTAAGGACTTATCCGAGGAGCAGAGGGAAACTGTACAAGAAATTTTAGTCAAGAATAAGGAAGCATTTGGTTTGGATGGACGGCTCGGGAATTATCCAGAGGAAATAGAAGTTCCTATGTTACCATATGCAAAACCTGTAGCATTACCTCCAATTCCACTATCACCTGCTAATCGCGAAGTTGTGGACAAGCAAATAGATGCTTGGTTAAAGCTTGATGTCATTGAAGCATCCAAAAGTCCTTGGGCAGCGCCAGTCTTTATTGTTTGGAGGAAAACCAAACCGCGGCTAGTTATTGATCTTCGAAAATTGAACGATATGGCAATTAGCGATGAATTCCCTCTACCACGACAGGAGTATATCCTGAATGCATTAGCAGGAAGTCATTATCTTAGTACCCTCGATGCTCTAGCGGGATTCACCCAGCTGACAATTGCGGGTAAAGATAAAGAAAAATTAGCCTTCAGAACTCACCGAGGACTGTATCAATTCAAACGGATGCCCTTTGGATACAAAAATGGACCAAGCATCTTCCAACGTGTAATGCAAAAGGTCCTAGCTCCATATTTGTGGATTTTTGCATTGGTGTACATTGACGATATTGTTATCTATTCAAAATCCTTCGAGGAGCATGTCCGTCACATTGACCAAGTTTTAACAACAATTCGGAAAGCAAAACTTACTCTGTCACCAGCAAAGTGTCACTTCGGCTACCAGTCACTATTAATGCTAGGACAAAAGGTATCTCGGCTCGGATTATCTACTCATAAGGAAAAAATCAATGCAATCATTGAGTTAGATGCACCCAGAAATGTTCGAGAAATACAAACCTTTTTGGGAATGATGGTATATTTCTCCGCCTATGTACCATATTATGCATGGATTGCGACTCCGCTATTTGCACTATTGAAGAAAGGTCAGAAATGGCGATGGGATGCAGCAGAACAGCTCGCATTTGAACTATGTAAGCAAGTTCTAACACAAGCGCCAGTACGTGCTCACCCAATACCTAACCTTCCGTACCGAGTCTACACAGACGCATGCGACTACGGGCTTGCGGGAATACTACAACAGGTTCAACCCATTAAGATTGGAGATCTGAGAGGCACAAAAATATTTGAGAAATTACAACAGGCTTACCAGAACGGAGATCCTATACCTAAATTAGTAACGGACTTAGTAAAGGAAAATTCAGACGTACCAGAACCTGGGGAATGGGCTAAAAATTTTGAGGAAACCACAGTACACGTTGAGCGAGTAATAGCATACTGGTCGCGTGTTTTACAGTCAGCTGAACGGAATTACTCCCCAACAGAACGGGAAGCTTTGGCCCTGAAGGAGGCTCTCATAAAGTTCCAACCAATTATTGAAGGAGAACAAATTTTAGCAATAACTGACCATGCTGCATTGACATGGAGCCGTACATTCCAAAATGTCAATCGAAGATTACTTACCTGGGGATTAGTTTTCGCCGCATACCCTAACATGCGCATCATTCATCGTGCAGGACGCGCTCATTCAAATGTTGACCCAGTTTCCCGCCTACGGCGTCGTGTACCACGTCAAGAAGGACCTGAAAATGACACGGTTGGATACCTAAGGATAAATGAACCTGAACATGAGGAAGGCATTACGGACATGTACAGGAATTTAGGGGAACGATTTGAACAAAGGTTACTAACCGCTGCAGCTGCGTTTGTCCGATCGGAAGGAGAATTGGAAATAGACAAAACAGATGAGGTACAGTTTGAGGTATTTGCGAGAAACGAGCACGAAAATTCAATGCAGGCAGTGTACATTCAATCTGCAAAATCATATTCATTAATCTCTGGATGGGAGGCCGGGGAACGAGAAAAATGGATTGCAGCGTATTCAAAGGACCCCCATTTTGTGGAGGTTATACGTGGACGACAAAGCGAAAAGGACATGAACCATCCCGTATTCCCACAATACTATATTGGTGAGGAGGGATTAGTATATTTTGAGGACAATCTAGGAAATATGCGATTATGCGTACCAAAGGATTTACAGGCAGAAATCATGAATGAGATTCATAATACAATAACTGAGGCAGCACACGCAGGATTCTACAAGACATATAATCGGATAAGTGCCACTTATTACTGGCCTAGAATGTCACGCAGCATCAGAAGTTTTGTACAGAGCTGCGACATATGTCAAAAGGCAAAACCAAAACGACATGCACCATCGGGAGACTTACAATCAATCCCTATTCCGAATCTACCATTCGAAGTTGTCTCCATGGACTTCATATCTAATCTACCAGAATCACAGGGTTTTAACAGTATTTTAGTCATAGTTGACAAACTCACCAAATACGCAACCTTTGTACCAACCACAACTACCATTGATGAGGTAGATACAGCGAAACTGTTTTTCCATCACATAGTTAGCCAATATGGAATACCCCGACAAGTTATAACGGACCGAGATTCACGATGGCGCGAAACATTTTGGGGCGAAATTTGCCGATTAATGGAGATTAAACGTGCCTTGACCACGTCGTACCATCCCCAAGCAGATGGTCAGACAGAAGTAATGAACCAGACCCTTGAAATCGTGTTGAGAGCATACATTGGACCAAGTCGAGATGATTGGGCAGAAAAATTAGATAGCATTGCCCTAGCATACAATACATCAATACACTCAGCAACTAATCAATGTCCAGCATACTTACTATATGGATATCATCCAATAACAGCCTCGCGTCTTCGACATGCAGCTGCAGGGATAAAACGGAACATGCAGGACAAAGATACTGGAGAGGAAGCGCAGGATCCAAACAATCATCTTCATACATCAACGGAATTGAATCGCGATGACCGAGCGAGTGAGATGATTGAGGCTTTTGAAGCTGAACGAGGACAAGCAAGGGAAGCGCTTCACTTAGGCCAAATTTATCAGCAAAAATATTACAATCAAAAACGAATCCCATTAGAGTTCAAGGAGGGCGACAAAGCTTTGATAAATCCACATACTCTTCGATTGCTTCGTGGAGATAGGAATGACGGGCAGAATGGTGTGCATAATCTAGGGAAGAAATTCCTGATGCGATATGAAGGACCGTTTGAAATCATGGAGAAGATCAGCCCTGTCGCGTATAGGCTCCGGCTGCCTACTTCATACAAGATACACCCCGTTATTAATATTGAGCATCTAGAAAAATATACAGTGTCACCCGAGAGTTTTGGACCACGACCATCTAAACGATTCAATAGAGAGGATTTTGAGGATTTACCAGAAGTAGAGGTGGAAAAGATAGTTGATGAAAGCTTTCGTTATGGAAGAACAAGGAATGGAAGGCGTCGTCGTTATCCAATCTACAGGACACGGTTCATTGGTTATCCACCGGAGGAGGACGATTGGAAGACGGAGGAACAGCTGAAAAATGCACCTGAGGTACTACGTGACTGGAAAATTAGCCGATTAAGAACGGCAATCATTTCTCGTTGAGCTACGCGATACACCGATGATTTCAAGCTTACACGATTCAACGGGATTCCATCGATTATTGAAAAAACAAGAAAACTCGTGCTCCAAGGTTTGCAAAGGTTCACTCGGGTCGGTATGCCCATTTCCAGACATAATGCCTAATAAGAGTAACTGAATTTCGTACTTAAGAGGACAAACCAAAACCTACTAATTATCGACTTAGCCTCTCCGACTAAGCCTTCAACGACTCATCACGACGCTCACGCTACTCATCGTCTGACTCGATAACCATGTCTGTCACTCTCGCACCCAACACCTCACTTACACCCAACACGTCTTTAACTACCTCTAATTCTATCGATAATCAATTGGAGAAACTCTGTCAACTCAATTTTGAGTTCCTAACAACCCCAGCACGCAAGCTCAGGGAGAAGGATATCATTCCTGTACGCAAAAATATTTTTTATCTTTCATGTCTACAAACTACTATTAATACATGAGTCGAACAGGTCGGAGATCACCCAGAGAGCGGAAGACCACAGTTCGCTCTTGACGGGCGAATGTCTGAAGCGGCATGGAGTGCTTTGCTTAATAGCCTTGAGGTGATCCAAAGGGCTGATCAAGGGAGGAAGAATGACACTCCAGTGTCTGAAGATTCGGCTCAGAAAGTAGCGTTGCCTCAACCGCCGTTGAAGCTAATTCTCAAATACGCGAAAAGTGCTAATCCGCTTTCTTATCCGGGGTCTCGACGCCAGATCATCTACACCTACTATGGTGCCAGACTGCTCCTAGTTAGGATTGTCCAGTGGATGTCCTTATGTCAAATGCGAGCCGTCCAGCTCGAGGAGGAAGGTATTAATTCTGGTTGGAATTGGAAAGCAGCCTTGACAGAGGACACGATCGCGATCCCAAACGATCTTAACGTATCCGACGAGATGTTCACATCACCCAACATTGAAGCCTACGATCCTCGTCTCCCGGCTTTCAATCCGAAACTTATCTCGAGACAGCAGGAAGTGGAATCTACGGAAATGGTTCTTCACCCTTACGCCTCACACTATGCATGCCACTTTCCGAACTTCGACCCTTTCAGTGGCAAGGAGTTGAAAGAGATTAGTGATTGTTTGGGGAAGGAATTTTGCACGGTGAACGAAGAAATTTAGCATGCCGAGCACTAAGGATAATACCAGTCTGGGGGGGATACTTGTTATAGAACAGCCTGAGGTACTGTAAGACTGTTATTTACTCTAGTAGCTACTTCTCACTTCTCATACGGGCTATTACTTTACGATTTGTTAGGATTAAAATCTCAGCATTGCATCGAGGTTGGTTTAGCCAATTTAGGAAATTAGACAAGATTGTACTCGTATTCAGACGAAACATCGAGAACATTCTAAGGAGTTCCTCAGTACTATATAGTAATATCAGTAACTCAGAATGAGGACATTCTTTACTACCATTATCGTCTGAACTAAGTTCACGCTAAGTGCTATTGACTCGCTCTAGCATCATTCTTCTCATACTCCTTTGCATTGATTCGCTCTGTTCAAGGTAAGCATTTCGTCACATAATCAATCATATTGACCAGATCTATCATTACTGAAGTTATCTCTTTGGCATTACTAACAACTATTGCGCGGACACTATCATTGTTTATCCCAAAACACTGCGAACGTCACGCGTGAATTGTAGCGAACTCTAACAAGGAGCTGTGAGCCGGAATTCATCCTTACAATTAATTCCTTCATGAAAATCAGACCATGCAGCAAAAATGCAGGACTTTCCAGTTCCACCTGGACCAGTAACTAGCACACAGAGGGGAGCGCTGGTAAAATACCAGTCGAAGTAATCCAAAGGGAGACAACTCAGCCAAATGAGGCCACAACCACCATCACCATTGCAGCGACAGAGGAGAAGCAAAGAGAGGAGGAAGCGTCAAGTGCTGTAGGAGTGATTATTAATCAAAGACACCAGTCAGATACCCTGGAGTTTAAAACCCCCAGAAGGATAGTGTCATAAAGTACGCAGCCCCTATCATTACGCAGCCCCTATCATTTTCCCTTTCTCACCGTCTCGACGCCTTTACTTGTACAATACATCATCCCATCGCTGTCAATCTCCATCGATTACTGATCTATCTATTACTGATCCACCTGACCCACCTTCTCTTTCTATCGGCTTCCGCCTCCTTCCTTGCCCCTGAACTGTACAGTATTACATCGTTGTTTCTCGCAGACTAGATTATGTATATATAGCCAACCCTCCACAGCCTGGTCCCTTATCTTGACCTCTCTGTCATTATCTGGGACCAGGTATGTGCTTACTTATTATTACCTATGACTACGATACTCAATATATCTCTGTCATTATCTGGGACCAGTTCGCCTCCGCTCCGCTTAGTCGCTCCGCCTCACTCACCTGCTTAGTCGCTCTGCCTCACTGTCTGGTTTAGTCACCCCGCTTCCTGCTCCGCTAGTCACTCCGCCTCTGCCGCTTCGTGACATTAGGTCAAGATCCATTACTGCACTGACAGCCTACCGATAAGGTTGTCCTTGCAGGATCCATAGACACCACGTCTTCCCCAGTCCCGCCCGATTCTGAAACACCTGCTGCCAGTATAGACTGCTCCACACTCCCGCACGCACTTGACCCCAGAGACCAAGCTCACGCCCACAACAACAACGATACTTGGCGTGATTGCCAGTCTCAACCTTGCCCCAACGCCCTTTCGAACTCGATCCGAGAGCCACTCACTGTGAGCAATATAACCTTCCTGCCAATTCCCCAACCCCGATTGCCTACTCCCATCATGTCGACTCCTGTCCCGCCTGCCCCAAATACCTCTGCTGAGGATCTCATGGCTCAGCTCATCAGACAAGTAGCCAGCCTTGCTACAGCCATGGAGGAACGCTCATCCTCCAAGTCAAGCATGAACAAACCCGAGGTCTTCAAGGGTAAAGATGGTGCTGAAGCTCGTCGCTTCATGGCTCAGTTCCAAAATTGGGCGTCAGAACAACCGGATCTCGCCAAGAGCCAAGTTAAACTTATCAAGTCCGCCCTGGGCTTCTTCACAGAAAGTGCTGGAGATTGGGCAACTCCCCATCTGTTACACTTCAGTGCAGAGAATCCCCCTTTCGGAGGAAACTGGGATACGTTCTTGAAGGAATTTAGCCAGCGGTTTGAACCAATGGACCCAGGTATGGAAGCCCGTAGCGAGATCAAGAACCTCAGACAAAGTAAAGGGCAGACAGTTGCAGAATTTGCCCAGAAGTTCAAGGATATCGGAGATCGGACTGAAATGTCTGATATTGATTTACGGGAACGCTTCTTCACCGCCTTACTTCCGGAGATCCGACAACACCTTATCATCGTAAACATCGCCCAAGGAATCGCTCCGACTTTGAAAGAGGCAATCAAACGAGCCATATCGGTGGATGTCTACCTGCATGATCCCACCATGACCGGCCGAAACACCGGACACGCTCCCGCACACACTGCTCACATTACCCCTGCCGACCCTCACGCCATGGACATTGATGCTACTCATACCAGCACTGGGAATAGCAGGGAGGCCTTCCTTGCCCGTATGCGCGGACGATGTTTTGGTTGTGGAGCTCAAGGCCATGTTAAGCAGAATTGCCCACACAAGGAGACTACCTGCCGATACTGTGGACGCCGGGGACACCTAGAATCCGTCTGTCAGGACAAGTTCATGGGACTTAGTCGCGACCGTGGCCGACGCCAACAGCCTCGCCGTCAGCAGATCTCAGCCACGGCGGCACCATTTACCTTATTCCCAAACGAATCAGTTCAGATTGCCGCCTCAATCCCAACACCTGTCGCTGGACCTGCTATACCGAGCCCCGCTAATCAGGACTTCTCCACCCAAATTGGACAAATAAGGGAATTGTTGGACCGTGCTAATGCCATGTCTCCTCCGTCCTCTGGTTTTCAGCAGGGTTTTTAAAGAGGGTACCCGCTCCGGCTGCACCGAGAGTACCCCATAATCAGTTTACTATGTTCGCTACCTCTTCGTATGACTCGCTCCCATCATGTACAATATCATCTATTTGGGAATTAAATTCCAGCTCCCCACATTTCCGAATTCATGCGAAACTGAGAGGAAGGAACCATAGTATAACAACCGCAGCCATGGTAGACTGTGGAGCTACCGCCCTGTTTTTAAACCAAGACTTTGCCACCAGAAATCACGTAACCTGCGCACCCCTCCATAAACCAATCGATGTATTCAATATCGATGGTACACCTAACCGAGCCGGGCGAATCACCCACTTTGCACGCTTAGCACTCACAGTGGATAACCAAGAGCGATGGATGGATTTCCTGATCACAAACTTAGGAGGAGAGGATATTATTCTCGGACTCCCCTGGTTACGGAAGGTAAATCCAGAGATTGACTGGGAGAAGGGACGACTTTCAGTAAAGCCACCCCGGGTACATATAGAGGAAGTAGAAGATGAGCAGACTTCACACCCTCACCTAGTGGCGTCTACTACCGATAGTCCAATCCAGGAACTCCTGAACGAAGGATCCCAACGTGAACCCAATCACACTGAGGCAGACCTAGAGGAGAATGAAATCATAACAGCAACGGAGGAATCCCCAATACACCGAATACGAGCCAATCACAAAACGCGTCGGGCATGGGTGAAAGCGGGGATATTGGAAGAACAAACAGAGGAAGTATGGTGCTCAGCAGGGTTCACATATTCTCAACAACTAGCAGAGGAGGCTAACCGCGATAAACCCATTAAAACCTTTGAGGAGATGGTCCCTGAGCAGTACCGAGACTTCAAGAAGGTTTTCTCCGAATCTGCCTCTGAGCGATTACCTGCCCATCAGCCCTGGGATCACGCTATCGATCTTGTACCCGGAGCACCAGCAACCATGCGGACAAAGATCTACCCAATGTCCTTGAACGAGCAGGAGGAACTCGACCGCTTTCTAGAAGAAAACCTACGGAAAGGCTACATCGTTCCCTCGAAGTCACCCATCTCATCTCCAGTCTTCTTCGTGAAGAAAAAGGATGGGAAACTCCGTTTCGTACAGGACTACCGGAAACTGAATGAGTATACTGTGAAGAACCGATATCCTCTCCCATTAGTTGCTGATATCATTAGCCGGCTTCAGGGAGCGCGATATTTCACCAAGTTTGACGTTCGCTGGGGCTACAATAATGTGCGGATTAAGAAGGGGCATGAATGGAAAGGCGCATTTGCAACAACTCGGGGCTTGTTCGAGCCTAAGGTTATGTTCTTCGGTCTCACGAATTCCCCTGCCACATTCCAAGCACTTATGAATGCGATATTTGCTGATCTCATTGCAGCTGGCAAGGTGGCAGTCTACCTAGACAACATCCTCATATTCAGTAACGACCTCAAGGAACACCGACAAGTGGTACGGGAAGTATTAACGCGACTAGAAAAGCACGACCTCTATTTGCGCCCAGAGAAGTGTGAATTTGAACAGCAACAGATCGAATACCTGGGACTTATCATTTCAGAAGGGGAGGTGAGAATGGATCCGGTCAAAGTAGCGGCCGTTCGTGACTGGCCAGTCCCTACCAACCTCCGGGAACTGCGAGGATTTTTGGGGTTTGCAAACTTCTACCGGCGCTTTATCCGAAATTTTGCAAGAATAGCTCGACCTTTGAACGACCTAACCAAGAAGGATACCACCTTTAACTGGACTGGTACACAACAGGAGGCATTTGACACCCTTCGAGAGGCCTTCATCTCCGCACCAATCCTTGCTCTATGGGCGCCAGATCGGCCCACTCGAATTGAGGTAGACGCATCAGGCTTTGCTACGGGAGGCGCCCTCATGCAGAAGCAAGACGATGGTCAGTGGCACCCAGTAGCCTTCAGATCGGCATCCATGCAGCCAGCAGAACGGAACTATGAAATATATGATCGGGAGATGCTTGCCATTATTGAAGCATTGAAGGACTGGAGGAATTTCCTGGAAGGACTTCCACAACCATTCGACATTATCACCGACCACTCCAACCTCGAATTCTGGCGCACAGCACAAGACCTTACCCGTCGACAAGCCCGATGGGCCCTCTATCTATCACGGTTTGATTTTCATATGATCCACCGTCCTGGCCGAGTAAACACCCAAGCTGATGCCCTTTCTCGTA